AACCTCGATGTGCAGATTGCGTGGCAGGCGCAGTACTTTGTGAACCTCTGCAGGCGCAGCACTTTGTGAACCTCTATGCCTCTCCAAACCTCGACGAGGAAGCTCCCCGGAACGACGGTTGCGAGACGCTCTCGGGTCATGGTCGGATCATGGTCGGATCATGCTCGGAATCGTCCCTCCATTGTGATTAGAGGTTTCAGTTGTTTCTTGAAGTGCCGATTTCGTGGCAGGCACAGCACTTTGTGAACCTCCATGAAATGCTACATGGCCAGCAGAAAGGGGCGGACACCAGCAGTGACAGACCTGGGAGACAAATGAATAGAAATGCTACGCGACCAGCGGAAAAGGGCGGACACCGCCGGTGACAGACTTGGGAGACACATGAATAGAAATGAGAAATTGATTTTGTTTTTTTGCACAGCAACTTGAACAATCCGTCCTCTAGCTAGCCAAGGTATTCTCCGCACGCGTCGACTTCAGCGTGCCTCCGGCCAGCCACTCAGTCGGACTTGTATGGAGAGTGTTTTGTTCATAGTCATAGCCCTTCTAGGCCCGATTATAAAAATCACAGATCAAAAATGACCCGTTGCTTCAACCGCAATTGCCGACGAAGGCAGGCCCTGTTTCTGTTTCTGAGTGAAAGGCGAGCGTTTTCTGATTCCATTCAACGTCTCATATGGTCGTTTGTGATGATGGTTGCAATGTCCGCAGACTGCCGCTCTGCCACGCACTGTCGCAACCTGAGCTTTCCTGTTTCGATTTCAGCCCCGACACATTGAACTAAAACACTGCCTTGGCGTTTTCAGGCGCAGGACACCGCGTTCATGCGGAAGCATGCGCGGCAGGGCCTTGTCCAGCGCTCCGCGGTGTGTCCGCCCTCGCAGGGGACAAACCTCGCTTGGGGGAAACGGTTTCAGGCAGGGATAGACCCCAGAGATTGAGACTTGGTGTCTTTCACGGTCTTCCTTTTCAGGCTGGCGCCGCTTCAGTGCTCAGCAAGAAGGCGCGCCACGGCTCACGCGGAAGTGTTTAGAGTCTTAATTTATTGGGAGGGTGCCAACTGCGCAACAACATTAGGTGAAGTTTTGCTTCTGGCAGGACAGAAACCGGCTTGCCCATACAGTGCATGGAAACACGGTGGCGGTATTGCCGAGGCCTGAAGCTTTCATGGCTAAAAACAAAATTGTTTGCACCAGGTCCCTTCGCTTTGAGAAAAAAGGTGCTGCAGCTGCTGGGTTGGGATGGGGTAACAGGAGAAGTCTCCTTTGCAGGAGGCTTCTCCTTCAAACAGACAATATACAACTAATATGATAAATGCTCCTTCATGTAGGAGGCACCTCCTTTAGTGGAACAGGAGATTTCACCAGATTAAACATTTCAGTTAAACATGTGTTTGACATGTTTTTCCCACCAATCATGAGCCATCAAAACCCCTTATTTAAAGGTTGTATGTTTTTAGCACCAAAACCCTTTATTTAAAGGATTATATATACCTTTTTTAAGGGACCAAAGACCTCTAATTAAGGGGTAAAGACCTTTAATTAAAGGATTAACCTTTAAATAGAGGTTGTTTTCAAAGGGCTTTACCTTAATTAGAGGGTTTTCCCTTAATTAGAGGTCTTTGGGCTCTCTGGGTTGCTCCTAGTAGCGATGCCGCGATGCCTTTTGTTCCTAGTAGCGTCCTTGTTCCCAGTAGTAAGGCCAGGAGCCCCTAGTAGCATCCTTGCTCCTAGTAGCGATGCCTCTTGTTCCTAGTAGCGTCCTTGTTCCTAGTTCCTCCTAGTAGCGATGGCTTTTGTTCCTAGTAGCGTCCTTGTTCGGAAGGAAAGATGTGTTTGTTTGGAACGGCACGGGTCTTATGCTCCGCTAAGGCACACCGAGCATTTCGGCGAAACCCCCTTTTTTCGAGCCTTCAACATCGCACCATTTTTGTTTCAATTGCCAACTGCTGCAGAAAAACAGAAAAACACATGAAACGGACATCAACGAACTCTGGGTGCGTCACGCCACAAGCTGGGTGCGTCTGTTGTGAGGCCCAAAGTGTTGGCCCCTGCTTCCGGATGCTGCTCCACGGGGTGTCTTGGAGCGAAAGATGGTGTGACTTCCATCATCGGAACACGAGTAGCGTCCTTGCTCCGTTCGTAGTAATTAAGGCCAGGAACCCCGTTCGTAGCTTCTTGTTCCGTTCATAGCGATGCCCGAAATGCTCCGTTCGTAGCGTTACATCGTTCGGAGTCGTCCCAGAATGTTTGTCTTTGAATGTCAAGAGTGCTGAGTCGTCTTCTTCGTTCGCAAAGGGGCGAGAGCCGAACTTGTGGGGCGAGGCTGCCGAACTATGGTGTGCCATTCTGGTAAGGTTTGGCTCCATCTTTTGGCTCCATTCTGGTGAGACCGTAAGACCCATAAGACCCTCCAAATTCTGAGTTGACTTTGACCTTTCAGAGGGCTCACAGCTTTTAACGGTTGGTGGACACAACGGCATTGTAATACACACGGCTTCTCGGCCAGACCATTGCTTGTTCCACAACTAGTTTCTGCACGACATCAGCAATCTCGAAGTTATCATTTGCGTCGCCCATGCCAGCAAACACACAAATGACCAACAAACGCAATCGACCTTGCCGAAAGAACAAGGCACCAAACTCCCGGATGGAGGCTTTGGAACTGCAGGGTACACGACGGGTGTCCCATGCTGCAGCAAGCCCCTCCAGGAAACACCGGACCCAGGACGGTGTGAAGCCCATCGACGGAGAGGGAGAGGATAGCCATCGACACCGTGCTGAGAGGTGGCCATCGCCATTGTGGTGGCTCTTGTGGTGTGTGCTGTGATCGGGGTGGTCCTCATGGTGCGGATGCTAAGAAGACGGTCCTCAAACGACTTGAAACGGGAGAGAGGATCAAGAGACAGGGGGGAAGACCAAGAGACACCGGTGTTTGGATGTATTTGGAGGACAGACCCGGAGGACCTTCGGATTTGTTTTGGGACATGCCCAAAGACAGTCACCTCTAGCCCTGAAGATTGGACTGTTCAATCCATGCGTTGCGAGGTTGTGCAATCGGTGCTGAGATTGCAGGAGATGCCCCCGCCGTTCGGATTCGGTGGATGACAGGTGCTCGCACCGGTGCTCGTCCGAGAAAAATCACGGTGTCATCAGGTCGTTCAGAACCTGTGAGTCTCAAGGATTTGGATCGACACGAGTGGATTGACTGCAGTCTGGGAGTCCTTTTGTTCAACCGATCTGAGTCCTCGATCTGATCCTCAATCCAACCGATCGAGTCCTAGAGCCCTCATGAGTCCTCGATCCGATTTCGTGAGAGTGGAAAGGTGGATGGTCGATGGCCACAGCGAAAAGGCAGAAACGGATTTCAATGCACTGAACATCACCTAAACAACCGCCGCTTTGAGAAAGCGCCGAGTGTTGGAACACCAAATGTCCTCCGCTAAGTGAACAATGACCCCGCCGGAAATTGTGAGGATGACTGGAAGGTTTACAAGAAAGGCGCTGAGAATGCGTGGGGCCTTGACGAACCAAAAAGACCTGCCAATGGGAACTGCGGGAACCTAAGGTTAAAGACTGGGACTGAGGATCATCATGCCTTGCTGATTCTTGATGGCTTAATCGGGGAGGACAATCCAAGGGTTTTCATTCTACTCAATCTAACACCTTTTCTGCCCAGCAAGTCTAGTGCAGAATAGAACATATTATGGTTTCAGATTCACACCAAGGTGGCACAAGCAGTGCAGAAGATCGTGTCACATGCCACAGGCCTGATTCTCTCAAATCCATGCACCGATGCTTCTCCACACGTTTGATGGTTACAGAAGAATGGCTCCACCACACCACGCTGGCTTGTTCTATATACGTTTTTTTTTTTTTTTTAAATCAGAAATTGGTGAAACAGGCAAGCATGGCCAAGACATTCTTCCATATTTTTACTAAAGACCTCTGAAGTCGACTTGACCCTCTGCCTTTCTTTTCCTTTTCCTTTCCAACTAAACAACCAACACTCTGAGTGGCCAGGATCCATGCCCGCCGCCTTTGCAGAAGTGACGAAGCTCAGTGAGAAAGCAGACGATGGAGTCCTCATGACCTGGCATGACCTGCTAGCATGAACTGCTGGCAGCATAAGTGCTGGCATACGGCTGTAGCTTAGATTCTGTTGACTTTGCAATTGGAAGTTTCCTCTGCAGCTTACTCCAGAAACAGCGAGAAAGACAAGTTACTCAGAGTCTCAGAGGTAGATCTCCGATGACACGACTTGGCAACACCTTGCGCAGACTTTCTCAGAGGTAGATCTGTCCAGAAACGGGCAGGCCGATCACATAGTGCGCCAACGTGGCAGGTTGATCACCAGGTTGATCTCTGCTAAGGATGTGTCTCAAAGTGCCTTGGAAAAGGTCGAGGAGCGGGCCGGAGCGGGTGCTTTGCAGATGGCTTTGCTGAAGAAACCGAGCACACACACGAAATCGAAGCAAGATGAACGACGAACGGGCTGACGTTCCGGGTGCGAACCAACCAGGTTCAATCAAACTTCTCCTTCCCCTTTTTCTTTCCCATGGTCTTGTGTCAAAGGTTTCCGGAATCTTTAGCATGGACTCCTTAGGTCCGTTCTACAACCCCTCGACAATCCTTACGGCCAATGATTTGCTCCAATCCTGGTTCATGATACAACCACCAGGCCATGTGCGCTTCACAGGAGCTTCTCTCAGCCATTGTCGGAGAGGCCTGTGCAGAAAAAGCTGGAGAATTCCCACCACTGCCTACGGCATGTTTATCCACAGTGATACACCGGATTCTAGAAGCATCAAAGGCTTTTGATATCGAAGGAGCAGAACGGCGATGGCCTTGAAGGAATTGTGGGCTATTGCTGGCGCAAGACACGTTGGTTCGAAAGCGGTCAATGGATGTCAATAGCTATAGCTCATATTATCATATTATCAGATTCCAGAGTCATTTTGTGGAACCTAGGTTGTTGATGGTTGAAGTCCTTTTTCGCAAGATGGACAGGGAACAGTGGGCACCGGGCTCCGAGAATCTCACTGAACATCTCCATGTTGGACATCGCTTTCCAAGCGCCATGGCTCTACGGCACCATCGCCCTGTTCGTGCTGATCGCTGGGCTGCTCTTCGCCAGCATGAAGTTCCTAGGGCGTTACATCGCGGATCAACAGATGGAGCGCGTGCATCCGCCTAACGCCCGGAAGCTCTCGAACGAGGACTTTGAAGCGTTATGTTGCCGCACCGGCCTCACCAGAGCAGAGATCTCTCGGCTCTACATGAGCTTCATGAGAATTACCGATGGGAACTCCAACGAGAATGCTGAAAAGATCATCCAGGAGAGGTTAAATATTCTTAAGCACTTCCGCACTTAGTTTGATTGGGCTTATTTAGGATTTGTACGTCCAATGCCCCGCGTTCACCAAGTGGACTTTGGTTTCCCTCGGTTGAATAGCTTTTAGGTGGACGTTTCTGATTTTCAAACGGTGTCTTCCTTCGAGGAGGTTCCTTATTTCCAGGGCCCCTTGCAAGATCGCATGGTCTCAGCTCTGAAGCTGCCGGAAGAACTGGACTTTGTGATTTTAGCCTCGGCTTTGAGCGTCTTCAGTGAAAAGGCAGCTCTGGACGACAAGATGAGGTTCTTGTTCCGTTTGTATAGCTCTGAAGCCTCAGGCACTGTCTCCAAGCAGGATTTGACGAAGTTGTTGGATGATGTGCTGCCGGAGTTTCCAGATGAGGAGGAGAGGAGTACCTTGATCGAGCGAGCAGTTGAAGGAACCTTTGAAGAGCTTTGTGGGAGCAGTGAAGACCAGGAACTTGGCATGGAACAATTCCAGATGGCCGCTACTCCGCTCATCGGTGAGCGATGTACCATCTTTTTCTGAGACTTGCCAAAAGGCAACAGTCCAGACCCAGCGCATCTGGCTTTGCCGACCTGCAAGCCCACTGTTCACCACGAAAAAGAAGATGGGCTTCGACATGCTTCGACACGTGTCGACAAAAGTGGCAATTCGTTCTTCCAGCCCTTTCAAATACTTTGCAGGTCCTTGGCAGTGCCTGGCGCGTGCTTCTGGAGTTTCTGATGATGGCAGCGGGACCCAAGGGCAACTGAAGATGACGAGTTCCCACGAACATGGCGAGGGGTTCAATAGTTCTGTAGGTCCATTTGCTTGACTCCAAGAGAGGTTTTCCTGAATTTCATCATTGCAAGAGCCTTCTGGGGGAAGTTGGACTAATATATTTGTCACCTACTTCGCATGGTCGCTCGCAACTTCAATTGAACGGGGCGGGGGGCAGATCACCAGAACGACCAGGAGTGGACAGAAACTCGGCCAGACGAGGCTTTGTACATTGCTTTCTGGTTGGCAGCCCCGATGTGTGAAGCCCCAGATTTGTCGACCAATGTGAGGTCGTCGACGCATCTGCAGTTGCGTGCAACGTCGAACTTGGATGCGCTTTATAGGGCGCAGTGGCTTGTTGTGTCACCGGATGTGTCCAGTTTCACGTTTGGGTAGATGATCGGGGATGCCCAGATCTGATCACAATGGGGGGAGCGAAAGCGATGCGCAGTCGCACACGTCGACCCCTTGAGGCCGGTGGGGACGCAAATGGAGGAGCGGATGGAGTGGGTGCGACGGAGTTGCGGTGCGTACGTTGCGCCTGGGACATTCCGAAAGATTGTTTTGTGTTGTTTTGATGTTTTGTTTTGGGAGGGTTCTTGATGTTCAACATGATGTTCAACATTGCAAGATGATCAAGATACAATTCTTTGAATGATGTTCCTTTTGCTGTTCCTTTTCTGGACTTTCTGGATGATGTTCTTCATGTTGCTCGCAATGTCCCTTTGTCGCTCACAGGAGCTATTTAGGCGATACATCATGCTGAAGGGTTTGGCCTGCTGTGGCTACGGCTCGGAAGCCCCAAGTTGGGACGGGACGTTTTTCTCCCAAACAGGCTGTTGAACACCCATGGGTGCTGGCTGATTTGAAGGGGAGGATGGAGATGGATGAAGGGCAGCTGGAAGCTGTTCTTGTTTTTTTCTTTGTTTCTATTGGCGATGGTCTCCACCCTAATAGCAATGGCCTTCACCCTAATGGCGACGATTTACACTTCTTCTTTGACGAACTCATGTCATTTGGTCCTCCGCCCGGAGGGAGCACCGAGATTCTTTCTCGACCACGACCAGGTCTGTGTGTCGGTGTCCTGCTTGGCAGCTTAGGCGGGCGGATGGGATTTGGGACTTGGAACTTGGTACGAAGTGATACTAGGAGCAAGGACGCTACTAGGGGCTCCTGGCCTTACTACCAGGAGCAAGGACGCTACTAGGGGCTCCTGGCCTTACTACTAGGAACACGGACGCTACTAGGGGCTCCTGTATGTTGAACACAAGTCATTTGGCATTTGACCGGCACCCAGTGATTCCAATATGATTTCTATGGTTTGATGCTTTTTCTTCGGTGTGTCGAAGAGTCTGCTTCGCCCCAATCACGACCAAAAGAACCGTTCCGATCGAAAGCGGCCACCCACCACGCTCGGCGCGCCAACGAGGCGTGGACTTGGCGCCCTTCTTCGGGCTCTTCGCCTTCCTTTTGAGCTTTGTACCGGAGGTTGGGAGGACGTGAGGACGTGCGGTTGAGTGTCGAGGGTTCTTGCTTCGACAGGTCTCACAGATCATCGTTCGACTCTTTCTGCGGGGTGACACGTCGAGTGAACTGCGATCGCTGATGGTTGGATCGCGACCGGAGTAGCACAGCGTCACAGGTCGGTGCCATTGTGGCATTGCTGCTGCCGGCGCCCGTGATCCTCTTTGACAGGCGTGCCATTCGTGCAGAACTTCGTTCGCCATTTTCTTGTGAAGACATAAAGAGGGCTCTTAATTGCATAGCAATCACCTGTGTGTATGCCGCAGGAGTTGAAGTCAGTGGGTCGGATCCATATAAAACAACAAGTCACATAACATCTTCAAAGAGGTCCCAACTCCTGTCCTTCAGCGATGCATATCGAAGTTTTGGGCCACCAACCCATACAGTAGCCCTTGAGCTTTCGTCCACCGACCCAAACCAACGTCCGCTGACCGCACCGGGCCAGTCGCCTGGAATCTCCTGGCATGACCCTTTTTGCAGCTTGGCGAGCAGAGCGCCGTCCGAGGGATCCCAAAACCCAAACGGCTTGGCCGTTGGAACCGATGAAGGGAACCGATGAAGGGATGTGAATTATGTTGCTTTCCGTCGACGTGTTTAACATGTTTCTTGAACATCACTTCCTTTTATTGGGCCAGTACATATGAAGCTACTAGTGGGCTCAAAGGGCATCGCTACGAACGGAGCAAGGAAGCTACGAACGTAGCTCCTTGCCTTACTACTAGAAACACGAAGTTACTAGGGGCTCCTGGCATCGCTACGAACGGAGCAGGGGCGCTACTAGTCCTTAGCTCCTGGCCTTACTAGAGGCGCGATCACCCTCTCTCCCCGCCCTCACCCTCTGGGCGCCCTCGCAGGTCGCCACCTCGGCGCAGCTGGGCTTGAAGTTCGTCTTCGCCAATGTGGTCGAGGCGGTCCACGCACACCGTGCATCCGGTCTTCCGGTGCAACGGGCCATCCGTCTTCATCCGACAACTCGGAACGAGAGACCAGCCATCTTGAGGGCACTTCTTGGTACATAGGATGTGAGAGGTTTTTTTGGTCACTTAGAAGATTCTGAAGAGGTGAAGCTTATTTATGAGCACTCAAAAAGAAGCAGGAACAGTGGATCTGCGAGAGAAAATCAGAGACAGAGCGGAACGCCGAAGAACGATTTTGCCAGGTGAAGTTGGTGGAAGCGGATCAGCTCATGAAGCTGTACCTTCCACAGATCTGATCTGATGAGCATCTGTGGCAACCCTGCGGTTTTGCTGGACTTTGAAGGGTTTACTTTTTTTCATGCATTTTGGCACTTCCTCCCAGGAACTGCCATGAAGTTTGTTGAAATGCGTTTGACATGTGCGATGAACATCAATAATGGCCAAGCCTCTCCGTGTCATTGTTCATGATCAGTGCCTGTTGGTGTCGTTGAGGCATCCTGTGGTGATCCTTATGGCCGTGACCTTCTTTGGGTCGCGATCTTGGGGATTGCGTCATAGCGCGACTTCAACCACGATGAAGAACCTCGTTCGGAGAGGCGATGAACGTGATGATGTTATGGTTCGTCTGTGTTGAGTCCCGGAGGAACCTGGTTACAACGAACACTCCTACGGCTGGTGAGCTTCGTAGAGCTCATAGCTGGTTACAACCTGGTCACCTCAACGCATCTCATGACTCGCATCAGTGCCATCCGCCTTCGGCTTCAACTGTTCCAATGTGTTGTGTTTGACGCGGTCACCAGGTTCATCTGGGGTCCCACAGGGATGTTGCTGGCCGTACCGCTGGTGGCCTACTTCAAGGCCCACGGATCAACCGGGTATGAGATCAGCCGCAGTGCCATTGGACTCAAGAACATATGAGGACTGCAGGTTCCAAGTACAAACTGACTGCACCCTTTGATGAAAAAAACCTCTGTGACATGAAAAAGGATGCAGATTGTTTGTTTGAACTTCACACAATGTGAACCGTGCACGATAGTTCTCGGCTCAAATTTGCACGTTGCTGCAAGTTCGTGTGAGGGACACAGGTCCTGCGAGTGTGTCCTAAGTATACCATGATCAGCACCATGTTGTATTCGCATACAAACGTCAAGTGCTGTAGAAAAACAGTTTCACAATCCCGCCAGAGAATGGGAAGGTAAACGATGAAGGGCTCATGTTTTCTACCTAAATGTCCTCCACAATCAAGACGTGAATGTACTGGGCTTGCCCTAATAAATTAGTTCTGACGTGTTCTGACCGCAACTACACAAAGCAGCAGGGACTAAACATGAGAAACGTCAAAGCAGGTCTATCAACCACGCCGACTACTCAAGTCTTGCAGAAGGTGGGATATCTAGTGTAGACACTGGAACATCAGCCTTACCAAACCTTTGTTGGTAGAACCAGAGTGCCAAGACTGCTTTGTTTGGTCTTAAATCTTGATGTGAATAAGGAGATCCACGCACGAACTTCATCGAACTTCTCGCAAAGGACGTTCTCACACCACGTGCAGCCGAATTCGTTGCAGCGAGCGAGCTTTGTGGCCTTTCTGGCACTCTGGCGGCGGGTGGCTTAGCAGCTGCCGGAACTGCTTGGGAGGGATCCCCCTTTTTGAGATATAGTTTTTGAATGTTTTCAGCACCAAGTGTGTTGGCATTTCTGGGTCGAAAAGTGATATTCCCACTTAACTGCCAACTGCCGATGAACAGCATCCGGCATCAATTGCCGAGAGTTCACGGCATGCAGAATGAAGAAAACCCCGTGCGAAAAGCCGTTGGTGCAGCATCGCTCGCCGCGTGCGACGGCCGTTCACGAACGCAGCACCCGCTCAGGAGTCATGTCGGCGAGGCGACGGGTCGAGTCGGTGGGGCCGTGGCACACCGACCGTTGACACGGAAGGGAGGGAGGCAGATGAGGGAAGGAAGGACGCAACAGGGACATGAAGGAACAAATCGTGCTCACTAGGTGCCCTTTGTGAGGAAGACACAACATATGAGTACCAATCGGAGGGCCTTTTTTTTTGTTTTTCGTTTTTTTACATTTTTTTGTTTTTTTTTTGGGGGGGATTCTGCTCTTGCTGCGTTTCTGCTTCTGCTGCGTTTTTGCTTTTGTTGCTTTTCTGCTTTTGCTTTTCTTCTTCTGCTGCTTTTGTTGCTTTTCTGCTTTTGCTGCTTTTCTGCTTCTGCTGCTTTTCTGCTTTGGCAGCTGTTCTCCTTTCACTTTGTTTTTGCTTTTCCATCTGTTTGCTTTCTAACCTTTGGATCTGGTGTGCTGCTGGGGGGGGGCGCTGCGCCCCCCCCAACCCCCCCCGCGCCACGAAATCTGCACTTATCTCCCACACCCGCGCCTGCCACGAAATCAATATTTTAAGGTGAACTCCCCGGGGCATAAACTTCTAACCAATCATATATGCCTCCTAGGACTTTCTCTGACACCTACACTATGCCAATGTATTTTGCCAGCTACGACAGCTCCCAAATTAGTCTAATCAGCTAGCAATTAATATGAAATCTGCACTATTCCAATAGCTACGACACCTGTGTCTCGGTTAAGGACACGAAATTGCTGTAGTTAGCTAGGTACTAATAAGAAACCAGCTCTATTCCAATGTTTTTGAAAAAATGTCCCGAAAAAAACAGGAAAAACAATCACAAATTAAACGTGCACCCGTACCAATCAAAACCTGCGCATGTTGGTTTTCGTCAACGATTTACAGTAACTTGCCCGTGCTCAATGGGTGCACAACCTTGCACAACGATAGGGCATCCAAGAAAAGAACCGATGCCCTCCTCTAGAGGTTTTGATGGCCCACATCTACACTTACTACACATTCGGATTTGTGAGTTGATCCATTCATCTTGAGAGCTGTCCAGCGCCATCAGAGCTGCCCCTTCTTGAAGAATGTCATGAGTCCACCATGCGCCGATGTCACCCAATTGAAGGGTTGAAAGTCCGCTAAGTCATGGTTTGATGTCATGGCTTGTTTCAAATCAGGACCCCCAAACATGTTTCCGAAGATGACAGACATGTTTGCTGTATTTTTTGATGTCCGTTTTCCAACTTGGTCGTTCAGCCACCAGGTCCCGTGGACACTCGGTGGGGAAGTTGGTGCAACGCTTCGAATCTGCAGCACCGGGGACTGCGAAGATCCGGTGGGGCCACCGGGGCCGCTGGGCTGGTCGACCGGAAAAGCTGCTGAGGTCGACGGAGGGAGATGTGATGGATCCCAAAACGGGCTGCACACGGTTGAATTTCTGTTGGCATGATTGCTTCATCGATGGTCCGATCTTCTTGGGTTTCTTTGTCAGTCTGATGATCCGCCACACGACTCAGACAGGTCGCAACCAAAGAGCCATCCATTGGCCTTCATTTTTGCTCGATGGTGGCGAGTCAGGGCCTGAGTGCAGGCACTGGTGGAACTGGTGCAGAACCCAAGAACACCAGTGCTGGTTATACCATACCAGGAGGTGCGTTTATATAGAGGAAGACCAGGAAGACCCTCTGTGGGTGGGCAGAGCTATGCACCACAGGAGAGGTCTTTGAGCGTTTTTGGGCAAACTCGGTCGAACTGAGGCGGTTCAGCCCCATGAGAAGCTGCATCTTCCAAAGGCAGATGTGGCCCCAGACTTAGTAGAAACAAGTGCCACGCTAGTAGTAACAGGTGCCTTACTAGTAGTAACAAGACGAGCAAATTCATGGCGACAACACTTAGTAGCAGAAAATCCTAGCAATGGGGCAGCATCGCTTGCTGAGGCAGATTCAAGATCTGTGCGGAGTACTGTGTCGCCTTCATGGAAGGCTGAAGGGTGGGGCTGAAATCCATGGAAGACAGCGAAGGAGATGTTGTTTCTGTTTGGAAGGAACATGAACATGAGACCAATAGAGCAGGATTCGAGTCGGAGTGGGGTTCAGACTTTTGCATGATGAAATTTGACTGTGATGCACAGCCTGACAGCAGATCGTCTTTGATATATCTATATACATGTATATATATATATATTTTTTTTTTGTATTATATTTAATGGTTTTCTCTTTTCGAACAGCGCACGGAAAGCTTCTAATCGTTGTTTTGCGGCACAGGGAGAAGCGGCAGAGGAGCCACATCTGAGCTCCACTGGAACACCTTCACAAGACTCAGGCTGAGTGGGCAAATGTAGCAGAGTGATGAGTGTCCTGTCCCCGCCTTTTCCCAAATCTGGAGGAACCACAATTAATCTTAAAGATGGCAAAAAGATGCCGCAAGAAGAAGACGAACATGCTGAACTGCAGCATATCCCAAGAACCAGCAGATCATATAGCAGACCCATGGCAGATCCATGGCAGATCCCCTTTGGACGATCAAGGCTCACGGCCGAGCTCTTCAAGCCGAGGTGAAGAGGCGGCCGAGGGCCGGATTGCATGGACGATCATGGACATCATCGAACGGCTAGATGGCTGGGTTTTCAATGGTTTTCACATATAAAACTCGTTTGGTTCCTGATATATCTGATGCAAATGAACAGCAGCTCCCACTGTCTCTAAATACGTTTCTCTTCAAGTCTCCATCTCCTTCTGCTTAGAGACACGCGCTTTCTCACGCTTCACGTTGCTCACGCGCTTTCGCGCTCGGAGGCCTTGGTGACCGCTGCTCGGCGCTTCCTGGCCGAGCACCGCGCGAGCGGCTCGTCGGCCCTGTCGGCCATCGCGATCCGCCTCGATGCCGACTCCGACGACGAGTCCGAGGAGCGGGTGTGGATGGGAGATCCTCGTGATTTCCCCCAGAATGGGCATCGCTACGAACGGAGCAAGGAGGCTACTGGGGGCTCCTGGCCTTGCTACGAACGGAGCAAGAACGCTACGAACGGAGCAAAGGGCATCGCTACGAACGGAGCAAGGCTAGTAGATGGTCCCGTCCCCAGTCGTCCCGTCGACAGAGGGTCATTTACATGGATGCACATGGCCCGGATATTGAGCCCCACCGTTTTCTAACCAGCTTTTTTGAAGGGATGATGCAATCATGTGTGTTTTCCATGCCTTACCAATTCACAGGACATTCTATAGCATTTTTTTTCTTAACATTCATGGGATATGAACGTAGGTACAAGAGCACTTTCTAGATGTTTGACAAAACAGCAACAATCAAGAAGGACAGCATTTTCTAGAGACAGCTGTTTAATATGCAAACAGTGCAACACATGTTCAGAAAAATGAGTGTCCAGAATAATCGGGAGCAAAGGTTGAGTGAAAAAGAAATTAGGAAAGCTTGCTGTGTCACGGTGTATGTATGTGCATGTCAAAAGTATACGATTGTACAAGATCTTACTCTCCAGAAATTGGTTGCTTGATTATTTCATGATTTTCATTGATAGCTGAACATCTCAAGGACATGATTATTTTCACGTGTTGCCTCGCGATGAATCTTGTACAAAAGTCACTCTTTTTGGCACCTCTAGAAACTGCATTTTTCGTTTGCGCCCGTTTGATTTAAGTTTAACTCACAATGGAACCCGTGCAAGACCATTCCCTAGAGAGGCATGAGATCATGAAGATAAGGTCTTGATTTCTTGTTTTTCTACAATACCTATCATTTTCTGTACATCTTTTTACCTGGCCACAACCATTTACTAGACCAGAGTGAAGAATACTAGAAGTGCTTTTTTCTAGTGAGAGAATGGCTCATCCAGGTTCTCCTTGACATGTTAACGTGGATGATGGGAGCTAGTTCATTTCTGCTTGGTGACCTGAAGGTGAAGAGAAGTGAGTGAAGTGGCACAATACGACCTGGGGATAGAAAAGAATCTCTAGCAGTAAATAGATGAATTCTGGTCAGAGAGACATAT